TCCATAATCGCTCGCAGCACGAGAATGCCAGATCAACAAGTGTGAACGCCTGCACTGCTTTGACAGCTCACCATGCGCTCTACATTCCAGAGATTCTCTCGAACATAATCGGATTTCTTGACCCGAAGTCGATGCTAGAAGTCCACAATGTGTCCTTACTGTGGCGAGCTACTGTCACTATGGTTCTCGGCTTCCAATTCCGCATGGCTTATCCCTGCCCTGCTATCACCTACCGGGATCTAATACCTTCAGGACTTGAATGGATGCAACCAGACGAGAAAGAAATTGCAGAGATGAGCAAGAAAGTTTTCGATCTTCTAGACACAGAGTCAAAGTCCCCAGGCACCTACTTCCGTGTCTACTACCCTGCACGAGTGTCACAAGCCACTAATCTTCCCGAAGACTTAAAAACAGCATATCGTAATCTATGGCACATAATGTGCCATAAATGCCGGTTCCTATTGTTTCCTGTCTGGCCTGGACCGGTCCCTCAGATGTCGCTAGCACCGGAAGACAATCGCTGGTGGGATCTCAGCCAGGTCGAGTTCAATCCGTACTTCGCCCAAATTTTCGATTGCCGTCTTCGAAAGCACTATGGGCGTATAGAGATCGATCTGCAGCCTGGGCCTTTGAGTAGATCTCCGTTCTTTAGCCAGACAACATTGACATCCTTGGTACGGCCTATGTTTCTAACTCAGCCGCCATGCAAGGGCTTGGGACTCTACATCACCCAAGCTAGCTCCAACGCCAACCTTGCAGGATATCCGAAACGTCTCACACATATCCGCGATGACAATGGAATACGAGTCGGCCAATTTCTCGACGAACTCGAACAACATTTGTCTGCAGTTGTTGTATCTTGGCTACGGGATGTTCAAGAGAGGCGTGACTTGCTCTCAGAGATAAAATGGACAGCATTCCCACCGCGTAATTGGCATAACTCACGAGACGATTGGGGATTTAATGATGTTGAACCACGTCTAAAGGTAATGATCTTCCTTGACAATTTGGACAAGGTACCAAATGAGATGAACATGGAAGGAGCTGTTTATCAAATATTCTCGGGATTTGGAGATCGCGGAGAAATTTGGAAGCGAGCCTTTGAGGTCTGGCATGCGAACGAAAGTGCTTCCAAGATCTCAGATAGCCTCTAAAAGCCGTGTTTGAAAGACTCGAAGGCTATCTCTCCCATAACTGAAGTCATGTCAACAGATCGGTGGATCCATCGCGCACGTTCTTGCATCTAGCGATTAGTCTAGCGCAGGACCGAAAGACGTAGCATATCATCAAAAGCAATCAAAAGACATGAATTTATCCTTGGAAGTTTTGAAAAAATCTCACCGCTACAGTGGGTATCTTGAAACACTCTGCGCCTAGACAATATATGAAACGTGACACCCATCATGACCATATCGCTGAAGCAGTGCAACGACATTTTCCAGCATATTGCCACGTTCTGTTCGTCGCAGGCCTTCGATAGCTGAAAACAATCTCCTCACACATCGAAATCTCCGCGCCACTGAAGGGAATACTGCAACCAAGGTCATGATCTTACAGCGCACTCATCTTTCACCGCATGCTCCGGCGCAAAAGGATCAAAAGGAACAACAACCTCCTTCTTCCCAAATGCCCTCTTCAACCCCGTCTTCATCCTCTCCCATCTCGTCATCTCCTTCTTCTTAGCCTCCTCAAACGTCATATAACTCCTATCTATCTCCTTCAGCCGCGCCGCCTCCTCTTTCTCGAACTGATCGGCGCGCTCTCGAAGCGCAGTGATAACATGTTGACGAAGACGGTGATTGGCAAATGTCATGTCATGTTCTGGATGCAGAACAAGTATTTCGGGGATCTTGGAGATGGAGAGACCGGAATCGGCGATGCGGTGGTAGAGGAACGATTCCAGATCTTCAGGACACCACGAGGGTTGGGCCGGGATACCAACGAAGGTCGCACGAGTAGCTCGAATGATACCGAAGTCCGTTACTTCACCCGCTTCGTACTGTTTGAGCAGGTCGCAGATGAGCTGACCGCGCTGCAAAAGTCGCACTTCCCGGTGTGTCCAGTCGCGCTTGTATTCGGTTAGATGAGGAGGCAGAAGCCAGCCCTCCTGCGAAAGCTTGTGAGCGTCGTAGAAGTTCTTGAGCTTGTTCCAGGCGTTGGGAAAGAAGTAGCCTTTCCAGAACTTTTGGCCGTAGACTGCAGCTTCAACTAGAATGCGGAGATAGTAGTATAGCTCGTGTTGGCTCTGACCGTTGGAGGGACGAGATGAGAAGGATGCGGTACTTCGGCTGGCTTGATGGGGAATGTCGAATATGGCTGCTGCAGTGGGGTTGCGACGGTGAGCGTGTTTGCTGCCGACAGCTTCGACGTAGTGTATGCCTTTGTCGAATTCTTCTTTGCTGACGGCAACAGTGGCAATGGACTTCGCCTGCGCTTTTGTGAGGATGCCCTCTTCCCCCAGACCAGTCATGAAGATCTCGAAGTGCTCTGGTTTCAGTATGTGGCCGCGCTCCTCGGGGAAGAGCTGCGCGACGATCATCTCGTGGTCTTCGCTGTTCATGAGCCGACGTTCGACAAGCTCGGCATTGTTGACTACAGCGTTGTAGCGTATGATCCAGTTACGCTCAACAGAACCTTTTGGCATCTGACTAGCGCGGATGTGGACGCCATTGACATCGAAGGTAGCATCGGGTATCTCACCATCGACGTGGCGGGCTTGAAGATGAAAGTGGGCATTGATCCGATCGATGATGTCGATGTTAGTCGGACAGCCGTCTGCTGCGTAGAAAGCGAGATATCTGACCGCCTGGCGCCTCCTTGCGGCTTCGATAGCCTGATTTGCGGTTCTGAGATGGGTTTGGCGGTGGTTGAGCGCAGAAAGACCGGTCGGCAGACGAGCTATGCCATGACTGTCTCTGGGTCCCACATCCTTGCCGATGGTATCCAAAGGCTTTACGCGCTTACTTGTATTTGCCTGTGGTTTGATGGTAGCATGGCGCTGGTTCAACAGCTGTTCTGCTGCGCGCATGCCCTCTATGGCCGCCTTGAGTCTATCAGTACGAGCATCAGAACTGATGTTGGTATCGTCGACGGTGGCGGGGTGGGAGGCCGTCCGAAGTACAGGGCTATCATCGCTATACTTTCCGTTTTCAGAACTGAGATCAGTTTTCACTGGGGTTTCGGTGACAGGCCTCGCGGTGTTGATCGAGAACTTTGCAAGTGGTGTGACGGGTGCAACGTCGGTATGACTATCGTTGGGGCCTGATGGGTCGAAATGTGCGCTTTCAAGTGGCGTCAACGGGCTCGTGGGTGGAGTGCTGGAAGGGACTGTATGGGATAAGATAGTAGCCTCGGACTCCAACGTTGTGTCATCCGCCGTCGAAAGTGGTGATGGAGTAGGAGATGTTTGCTTCTCGAAGGTTAGTACAACTTCTCTCAGGTCTCATCTATAGCACTGACCTTTTTTTGCTTAGGCGACTGGAATCGATAGAGCCTCTTGTGAGTAGAAGTAGGTGTAGTCAGGTCAGAAGGCATCGGAGCGACATGATCACGACGGCGATGATTGCCGAAGACCTTTTGGAAGCCAGCGATAAGACGTGTAGATTCCTTGCGCTTGCCGTCCGATTTTTGAGCAATGCTGTTGCTGCTTATGCCAGCGCTGATACCGGGCTCGTTGCTCGTACTGTTTTTGGGCTCTGATTTGGCGCGGTCGTCATCGTGGCTGCGGCGAAATGACTTCCCAGACAAGAAGCTTTTGAAGCCGACCATGGTTAGTGTTGTCGGATTGTTGAACAGATGAACTTTCAAGTGATCGTCGCTATGACGGGAAGGCCGGGCCTAAAGGGTGCGTTGGTGCTGTTGGTCGAGTAGTAGCTGCCACTGTCAGTGCGGGCAATTTTGTTAAGTTCAGCTTGTAAACTCCAGTTGTAAACAACGCCAAGAATCCGTGATTTCGGATCCACGGCGCCGGGCAAATGCGGGGTGTCGTAGCGAAAGTGAAAGTGAAAGCGCAATAACTTGAGAACTTTGGGTGCGTATGGTTGAGTACTGGCGCGTTAGCGAAGTGAAAAGTGCACCACGGAACAGCCACTGGAACGTGAACTGGTCAGCTTGAGATGAGAGAATGTCTGCTAGAATAGAAGCACTGACTTGCGAGACTCGCCCGCGAATAGCTCTTGGTGCATAGGATACTCGCAAGATGTACACTTCCCGACATTCGCCATCAGTTCAGTCCTTCGTCCGGGTATAACATATTGCTCCACTAGCTGTTGATCAAGCTGGAACCATATAAATTGGGACGAAGATATCCGAGCCAGTGACCCTGACGAGAGTTCACGGCAGAAGTTCCTCATTAGTATTCCTGACGAAGGACAAAGAGAAGAGAACAACGCTCTTCAGAACAGACTCGTAACGAATGATGAAATGTATAAGTTGGCAGTATAGAAAAAGGCATGACGTAGAATGAGCAACTTAAACTCGTCTTCCGTGCAAGTCATGATGTATCTGAGGATTGCATGGCAGAGATGCTTGATGAACGCGAGAGGCGAAAAAGAAAGCAACGAGATAAGGTTATACTGAGCCTCAGAACCACGACCCAACGTCGATACTCAATAGTACCAGTGATGCTCTCAAGTAGTATTAGCATTCATGAACTCCTGTCGCTGAATGTCTTTGTGCAGGAGAGTACAGAAGGCTCTGTACTCGGAGTAGGCAAGAGGAGGGTGCATGAAGGAACTGGCAACGTATCCACAACGGGAGAATGACTAGTGCTCGCGAACAATGCAATGAACATGGATCTGCCCATTACACGCGATACACTGTAGTGGTAGTAAAAGTGTGATGTGCGAGAGCACGATGAAGCCTCCCGGGTAGATCGTAGTGCAGGGTCCAGCGCGGAAGCCACGAACCTCGCCTGGCGCTAGGTAATTGACCCCACGCGAGTGGCTGGCCAAAAGTTCGTACCCCGAGGACAACGCCTGCGCAACGTCAAGAGCAGCGCCATGGCTTTACTCGAGCTGCTGGACCAATTGCCAGCTGGTAGGTCACGAGGCTCAACACGTGCACCTGTAGCTAATCACACCGCAGAGGTACTCCTCATATGGCACGAGCATCGGCTCCCCATCCTACTGTCTGCACTAGTAGTAGCGACCATCGCGCGCCTTGTCATATATGCGCGCGACCGCGACCAGAGAGAGAAGCTCTCTGTATCACCCGCTCCTTCCTCGCCGAAGAATACCGTCGAGCTTAAACCGGAATGGCTGCCCGAATACACCACGACGCTCAACTCTGCCAAGCTCAATGTCGATAACCACGCCGAGGATGACACAAGGGCAGTGGCTGCCGTCGCCGAGACGAAGAAGGGCCCCAAAAGAGTCAAGGGCAGGAAGGTACCGAAGAAGGTGGTCGCAGCTCCTGCATTTGACCATAAGACGGATAGGATCCAGCCCTTGATCTTCTTCCAATCGCTGTCTGGGACGACTGAACGTTACGCTACGCAGTTCGCGCAAGTCCTGAGCGAATGGACAAGGTACGTTTTGGGCATGCACGACATATTTGAGGCATCGACTGACCTCCTGCTTCACGTTGCAGGGGATGCGATCAATCCAAGTCCTTCCTAGAGCCCCAGACGCTCGATATATCCTACATTGAACACGACGACTACTTCATCAGCCCACCGAAAACCGACGCGAACGTCAAATACTTTTATATCATCCTCGTACCGACCTACAACATTGACACTGTCTTGGACGTCTTTGTGGAAAGCTTGCAGGAAACACACAACGACTTCAGAATCGATACGGCGCCATTGAGCGCTTTGCTAGGATACGCCGTGTTTGGTTTCGGCGATAGAGAAGGATGGCCGACTGAAGAAGAGGGCTTCTGCAGCCAATCGAGAGAGGTGGACAAGTGGATGGCCAGGCTGACTGGCAGGAAGAGAGCATACCCACTTGGTATGGCCGACGTCAAGACCGATGCTGAGCAGATGCTACAAGATTGGAGGATAGGTGTTCAGGACGCGCTCGTGGAGATCGCCGAAGGACGAGGACTCGGTGACGGTGTCCCGGGTAGCGGAGATCCCATTGAGAGCGACGAAGAGGATATAGAGGATGGGAACGACCAAAATACACGCGTAGACGATGTTGAAGACTTAGGCTCGATGGTGAACGCTCCAATTCCGGTCGACTTTACCACCTACAAGAATTCCGCAACCGCTCCCAAGGCCTCAATATCCCGTCAGACTCCCAAGGAGATGGTTCCTACTACCTCTCCCACGTATGCCGCTCTTACCAAGCAAGGTTACAGCATCATTGGCTCTCATTCGGGCGTCAAGATCTGCCGATGGACTAAATCTGCTCTGCGTGGCCGAGGCTCCTGCTACAAGTACTCGTTCTACGGTATTGCCTCTCACCTATGCATGGAAGCGACCCCGTCTCTTTCATGCTCCAACAAATGCGTCTTTTGCTGGCGACACGGCACCAATCCAGTCGGCACCACGTGGCGCTGGATAACCGATGCTCCGGATCTGATATTCGACGGCATCACAGCAGCACATTACAAGAAGATCAAGATGATGAAGGGAGTCCCCGGTGTCCGAGCCGAGCGTTTCAGCGAAGCCATGCGCATTCGTCACTGCGCCCTGAGTTTGGTCGGCGAACCAATCTTCTACCCACACATCAACGAGCTTCTCGGTATCATGCATCAGAATCGCATCTCCACGTTCCTTGTCTGTAACGCTCAGCACCCAGCTCAACTAGCTTCTTTGATCCCAATAACCCAGCTCTATGTCTCGATTGACGCATCAAACAAAGACAGTCTTCGTAAGATTGATCGACCTCTTCACCGGGACTTCTGGGAGCGCTTCTGTGCTTGTCTAGATATCCTCCGTAACCGGCGATTCGAGCAACGCACTGTGTTCCGCCTAACACTGGTCAAAGGCTTCAACATGGCCGAGGAGGTGCGTGGCTACGCTGACCTCGTCGAACGTGCATTGCCTGGCTTTGTCGAAGTTAAAGGCGTCACATACTGCGGTACCTCAGCTGCAGGGTCTGCAGGCCTCACTATGCAGAACGTCCCCTTCTACGAAGAAGTTGCCGAATTCGTGACAGAACTTGAAAAGGAGCTGAACAACCGCGGCCTGACCTATGGTATCGGCGCCGAACATGCGCATTCGTGCTGTATTCTGCTAGCCGACCGCACGAGGTTCAAGAAGAATGGCAAGTGGGCGACAAGGATAGATTTTGAGCGCTTCTTTGATCTCTATGAGGGCAAGGTACAAGGGACGAGAATGGAGGAAGGACAAGTAGTAGGCTGGAGACCGGAAGACTATGTTGGCGACGAGACGCCAGAGTGGGCGCTCTGGGGAAATGGTGGATTCGATCCTAGAGATGCGAGGGTGTATAGGAAGGGCAAGGGGCCCAAGGGCGACGATGCAGAGCAGAGCGCGATGGAAGGGCAGGCCACTGCGGCTGCGTTGGAGTTCTGATTCTCGTCACGAATGCAAACATAAATTCAATCAAATGTGTGTTGAACAAAGGCTCATCATTGTTCTTCTATCTATGCATTGTATTCATCAAGTCGTAACATCCATGTATGCAGTCGTAGTGATGCAGCACTCATATAGCGGCCCACTCAACAGAGAATGCCCTCACGGACTCGTCCTCTTTGGCATCTACCTCGGGGTTCTCACCACCGATCATGTAGGCCTTCTTCGTTCCAGTACCGAGACGTCCTCCACCGACAACATCCAGCAAATCGAACTTCTGGTCCCAGCCCAAGCCAGTTGCGGCAAAGTGGCTGTGGTACCGAAGGGGGTCGCCTGGGTACACGTTGTAGTGACATCCGAAGCGTAGACCGGGCATGTGGTAATAGCCCTTGGAGTGGAGGTAGCGGAACAGTGGGTAGCTGTCCGGTACAGCTGGTGGAGGGACAGACGGGTCCTTGGCGGGGGTTGGTAGAGGAGGGTATGAAGTTGTTGGTGTGACGAAGTGCTTCTGGGCCGCAACACCTTTCGGCGCGCTGGCCTGGACAGGAACAGCTGGTTCGGGAGCAGGCGAAGGGGGCGCAGCATCGAAGAGCGAGACCTCTTCGACTGAGGAGTCCACCTTGGGCGCCTTGATTTGCACCCACGAGTCTGAGAAACTAGAGCCTTTCATGATGAAGCCTAGACCAGAGCTACCGAGATCCGAGCTATCAGTGACTGAACTAGCGGGGCTGGAGGTGACTGTGGCCTTGGTTGGCTTCGCTGGCGCCGAAGAGTCTGCGAAGCTCGATCCCTTCATGATGAATCCAAGACCCGAGCTCGCAAGACTGTCGTCATCTCCTTGCAGAGTATCGTCCGAAGCAGTGCTAGAAGCGCCAGCACTCTTCTCGACCTCCTCCCTCTTCAGCCCCTTCGCCTCCAACGCCCTCTCTTTCCGCCTCTCCGCCAACTCAGTCTGTTCCTTGGTAACATCCTCACCCCTTTTATCCATCTCCGCCATATACCTCAGCCTATCCTCACGGCTCATCTCCGCAAAAGCCTCCTGATGTGCCTGCGCATCATCCACGAGATACGCAGCGCCTTTATCGACGAGTACCCGAGCCTCTTCCGGCATGAGTTCAAGTGGTATGCCCAGAAAAACGTTCTGCTGGCTGAGGTTCGGTATCGTGCCGACGAGGAGACCGCAGATGTTGTGCGTGCGACGGCAGTGCGCAATGACGTCCACATCAAAGAGGAGGTAGCGGCCGGCGACGTGGGATATCGGGAAGGGTTCTTTGATCTGTTTGGGGGCTGGGGCAGCCGCCATAGTATAGGATGGTCTAGAGCAAAGGCTTCGTTAGTCTTTGCTTGTGTAAAAGAGCGGTGAAAGGCGTATTTTAACGGTAAAGGTCATTGCGTGAATTTTTGGTCGTCAGGTCCACCGCGATGTTACATCGTACGGCGGAGTAGGTAGATTGACAGATTGATTTATAGGTTTATAATCATCCAAGGGATAGGAATGAAGGGAAAGGGTATACTGACTCACATCGCGGCGGTGATCGCGCCGTGGGGACTGGATGTCGGAAACTTTGGATGGAAAACGAGAGTCGAGGAGCTTCAGACCGCAGCTTTAAGAAACTTTTTAGCGTAAGCCCTACCCACTATTACCCGCGTTGGTGGCTGCGAAAAGCTGGTTCCATGGGACATGAGTGGTGCAGTGAAGGATCTAGACCGCTCATTGCCTAGCGCAGCCAGATCCCTTGGCGCACCCCGAAGTTGGCCCGGCATTATGAAACAGCTCTAGTGTCCCACCCATGGCACACCGCAGATGCAGATGTGTGTGTGCTAAGGAGTGCTTCTTGATTCAACATCGCGACGGCGTCAATAGCAGCATACCCGGGTAGCTGTCGTATATCTAAACTCCGAACGTCGCGTAGCAGACATAGAAAGTGGGCGCTGTGGGAAAAGGTTGGTTTGACTATAGAGCCGCTAGAGTACATTGTAAGCGGCAGTATTATGAAGGTGAGGAAAGAGAAGGGAGCGCAGGATATCGCATGATGGTGGTGATGATGTGGTGAGTGATGTATATGGTCACGTGCTTTCATCTTCGCAGCCACACCCAGGTATATAACAACGGCACGAATGTCGTTGTCTCGCAAAGTGAACGGTCATGACGGAAAGCTTGTCCAATATCGCTATCCCATATCGCAGTCGCGTCATGAAGTATGCAGACCATCCCGTAGCTTCTTCCTGGCGGTCTCTGTCTGATCTAGCGCGCTTTCCTCATTTCGCACGTCAAGCACCACGTCCGCTTCTCTCACGCTTTTCACTCCAACACCAGACACACACACCGCTATTTCTCGCACCACGCACTTCAAAACTACCTCAAGTTGCTAGAAATGGCACCAAACACTCACCTCGACAATGCGGCCACTGACCAGCTGGAAGGAATTTCAGCTCATGGCCAGCAGCGCGCCGTTCCCCCGTCATCCTCTCTCCCTCCTCGCCCGTCTCTCATGCCCCCTCTCCCTTTCCCCTTGACATCTCCTACCCCTTCTACGTTCTCCAATCTCCTATCATCTTCATTTCTAACGTACTCTGCCCCTTCCTCTTCGCATCATGCCTTCTCGACTTTGCACCCGGTTCAATCCTATCCTGCTAATCACATAAGCAGTGTAGGCTCAACGCCATACGGCCCACGAGCCATGGCCATGCAGCCACCAACATCAACGGGTTCAATGAGCTTTGCGCCCTCTTCTGCTGTGTTCGAGCAGTCCTCATCATTATTTTCAGCAAGCTCAATGGGCTTTGCACCCTCATCGTCCGCTACGGCCAAGCAGCCCTCAATGTCTTCATCAGACTCAACGGGCCTTGCACCCTCATCACCTGCCACGGCCAAGCAGCCATCATTCTTCGCAGGCCAGATGGCAGCCTTGCAGTCAGTGCAACCATGGACTCCGTCACAGATTGCCGCAACATCTACCTCTGCATCATCTGCCGCTCAAGGCTTTAATGCCACTTCGTCTTCAGACGTACGGTTCACAAATCCTGTCAGGAGCAAAGCGCAATCTCCTGCGCCAGCGACCAAGGAGCCCATGCAGCAAGAGCATGTCACAGCACCTGAGGAAGATCTTCTCAATGCTTCATCCAGCGAGTCCTTGGATTCTAACCAGTTTCAACCCGAAGTAGGTGGTATCATTGAAAGTTCCACCATCGGTGTGACGAGACCGTCATGTGTAGCTGATACCGATCCGATGCAAAACCACTCACGAGATAGCGCAGAGCAAATACGACAAGTATTTGGACTACTCAAAGATCTGGGCAACGACCCAGCCGCAAGACGCATACTTGCAGAGTTTCTGCAGCATCAGAAGACCACTCAAAACCCCAGAACGCAGGCCGAAACACCAGCGCGGAAAACTATCTTTATTGTACAGGTACGAGCAAGCTCGGGTGCTACTGCCAATGCAGCTCGTCGTCTTCTTAAGAGACCAGCAGAGATCTGGCAGGCCTATCTCCGAGCCTACCCGCTTCCTGAAGGAACAGAAGCTGTCAGGTATCGCCAGAAAGACACCTATAAGCTTAAACTGTACCAGTATAGCTACATTTTCTCCCACCAATGGACCCACAAGGCCAGTGCGGGGCTATTGATCAGCGACAGCGACAATACCCTCGCCCGCGAGATTCTCGACCTTACGAACGGGCAACCACTACACATAGTGGTCATTGGGACAGGTATCGACGGTCTCTCCGTCAACAACACATCATGGAAACATATGCATAAGCGATGGCCCAAAGCCACTTTCGAGCTGTGTCTCATGGTTCCAAAGAACTCTCAGTATCTGACCAAGTTCCCGCAGATAGCCTCAATGTACGATGACTACTTTACAACAATACGGGTGCAAACTTCTGAGCTAGCTAGCGCATTTGAAACGGCACACATCGATGAGGTCAGGGTCGCAGATGCGTCAACTCCAAGGAACAAAATGATCGTGCTGCTGTTTCTGCTGATCGTGTACGTAAGCACAGAAAAGTCGAACTGGGCTCGCACGAGACACGCGGCGCTCCACAGAGATCTAGAGATGGCGGCCCTCGCTAAGACCGTGGGCTTACGCAAGGTATCAAGGAACCTCGGTTTTCCGTTGAACGGTGGCTCTTCTCGGTCTGATGATGCCGGCGAACCTCAAAAGAAGAAACGCAAGACGAACGTCACTCCTTCGGTCTCGGTTAGTATCGATGATTCCGACACCGATTACAATGATGATTCCGGCGATGATTCTGATTACAATGAACCACCGATCAAGCCTACACGTGTCATGCGCTCTGATCAACAACGCGGGTCACACAAGACAACATAGCGAAGGAATTGACGATACGAGAGAAAGGAGTGACAGCCATAATAGAAATTCAGACACCATACGCTGGCTGAGTATCATACTCTGTGAGTGCCATACCCAAGAGACGTTATGCGTCTCTGCGTTTCGCGGGTTCAGCTGGATTGATCCCTGGTTGCGACTACCTTACGGGAACGCAACTGGGATGATTCCAGTGGTGGAAGTAGCTGATGTAAGGTCGCGAACGTTTTTCATTGCTTGGTGCAGCTTGCTGCACGAGTGAGGAAGATCGTCGATTCTGGGCCATGTTTGGGTCACCTCATGATAGGGAGAGACTGAATATGTGCGCTGAGGTATACATTAGTATAGAATAGGAGGATAGAGAAGTATAGAGGTGATGTAGACTCCTAGGTCGTCTACTTTCTCTAGGTAGGTAGGTGTTGATATCATTGCTTGAGTGAGGTGAAGTCGAGTCTGAGAGCGGTCTGGCTCACCTAAGACTACTAGCGCGTCAGCTGACCCGGAGTTAAAGCACGAAACGGCTCCCGCGTCCCAAGATCCGCGCCCGTAGCATCAACACGAAAGAATACGGAATATGGCACCGCCATACTTTCCCGCGTCGACCAACGGTCAAGACAGCGCGCCGCCAAAATCATACTACGAGCAACAGCGCGAATTGCTCGTCACCGAAATTGCCCAAGTACGTGCACCCACGCAATCCTCCACGGAGCGCATCGCAGCCCTCTGAATCCCGGCTTCTTGACCGGTTCATACTAATCAACAACCAGAGTCTAGAAGTCGTCCTCCAAAACATCAATAAGCTGAACCGTTCGCTCGAAGAAGTCACATCCGTCGGAAACGAGTTCGCACCCGTTGAGTCGCTATGGAGCCACTTTGAGAACGTCATGGCCAAGGACCCGAGCGAGCAACAAGAAGGACCACAAGAGGGCGCAACGGAACATGAAGGCGAGACGGAAGTGCCTCAGGAAAGGAAATGAGCGGTGGCAGGGAGGCAACCTTGTTAGCTTGCGATAAACAACAACGCGCCCGGAGGTGCACGGCCAGCCGTCGAACAGACCATGGCGATAATGGCTATGATGTAATGATACCCCAGAGCGAGTCATTGGCACAGTGCGCGACACCAGGGATCGTAGTTACCACGTTGTATTATACCTTTACACAGAAGATACACCGTGGGTATGCTACTTGAGTCTAAGGTATGCACCATTTCACGTGCCATATACATTTGGGCGAAAGCATGTATAAAGGCGGTCAGCGACACGAGTTCTGTCATCGGCTAGCGACGATCAATTTAGAGAAAACAGGTTTCAGAAATATGTTTGATTTACTTCCCCGGCGCAGGCAAATTTGATCGCCCCCTCGCGCCATGCATACATACAGAATACCGAATACAGATACAGGGAAAGAAAATGCTGCTACTGTGGACTATGGAATCGCTGCGTCCATTCTCATGCCAAAAAGGAAACCCAAACGCCAGGCGGCCATGTACATGTAAAGACTTCCCTAGGATTAAGAGGAAGCGAACATGCCCGGACAGTGGTGGAGGTGAGCCGTATGTCATTAAACATCTTGATCGTGTCGTCCAGCGTCGTGAATCTCGATATGCTCTCCTCTCGATAGACACAAACAAACTATAGGACCTTGCAGCCGCTGCGCTTCTTCTTCTTACCGCCCCCAGCAGGGAACGACGACGTGTTCCCTCTTGATGAGGTCGCTGTGCCGACACGGCGCTCTTCTTGCTCCTTGTGCTCCTCGCCGACGGCCATTGTGACGGCCATGTCGAAGATCTCCTCTACACCGTCTTGCTCTTTACTACTGCACTCCATGTAGGCAGCGCCCATTTTCTTTGCGACCGCACGACCTTGCTCCGATGTGACGGGCGTCAGGCCTTGTGTCTTGAGTAGCTCGATGCAGTTCTTCTTGTTGCGCAAGTCGGACTTGAGGCCCAACAGCATGAGGGGCGTTGTTGGGCAGAAGTGGAGAACTTCTGGGTACCACTAGATGTTGTCAGCCAACGCACGCGTTATGTGTATCGAAGTATCTTACCTTGTCCATGACGTTTTCTAGTGAGTTGGGGCAGTCAATCGCAAAGCAGACGAAAATGACATCTGTCTCTGGGTAAGAGAGCGGTCGCAACCTGTCGTACTCCTCTTGCCCAGCGGTATCCCACAGCGCAAGTTCGACCATCTTGCCTGTGGGAGGATGGGGAGTGTGAGTGATGTAGTTCTCAAAGACCGTTGGTACATATTTCTGCAGTCGCATTAGAATCACATGACATGTCTTTTTAGCTGGTGGTGCGTACCTCTGGGAAGTTGCCGGAGCTGTAGCTGATCAACAAACATGTCTTTCCGCATCCACCGTCACCGACAACGACGAGCTTCTTGGAGTAGGCTGGTGGTTCGGTGATGGCTGTGTCGCGCGTGTTGGTGGTTCCATATGAGCTAACGGTGCCATTGCTGTTGCGCTCGCTCGGTGTGCGGGCGTGGCTGCGGACTGGTGTGATTGATGAAACGGCTGCCTTTGTGCTCTGCTTGCGCCGGAGATAGTCGTAGTTCTGGGAAGGTGCGGTGGCCATGTTTGGAAGTGTGCGGGATGTGTAGTCGTGTCCTGTTTCGGACGAGGTTATCAATACGGAGAAGGAAGATGGTGTTGGAGTTGGTGTGGGGAGCGAGTGGTCGAGGCTTAAGAGAGGTGGATGTTGACTGTTAGAGGGCTCGGTCGCATATGGCAACCACGCTACGTCTCCAGCGGCTCGCTAAGCTAGCGCCAAGTTGCAACGTGCCTGTCCATGTCTATCGATCGATGGCATGCATCCAAGCCCTCAGCCTCGTCTTACTCCACGACGCTATCGCTGCCGCTGGACATGCACGTTCGATTAACTCGCCCACCCCCTTTCTGCGACCGCTGCCATGAGTCCGCGACATGATGCGCCCAAAGACACCGCAGCGACCACGGAGCCCAAATTGGACGCGGGCAACAAGGGCCACGATCACTATGCCCAACGCCTGCCCAGATGGCGCAATGCCCTGCGCAACCGCCTCATACCCATTGTGCGCTGGGAGACGCCCTGGCTCGCCCTGATGCAGGACAAGATGCGCTCGCCCGCCCTCGACTCCTACTTCGCATATACCGCCAACCTCGGCACACATACCTTCTTCATGGTGTTCCTGCCCATCCAGTTCTGGTGCGGCTACACTAGCATTGGCCGAGCGTATGTCAGAAGCTGTCTATCACTATCGTGCGACGTCTGACGTACATAGGACTGTCTTCATGCTTGCAGCCGGTGTGTACGGAACGGGCTTCCTCAAGGACATGCTCTGCTTGCCCAGGCCCTTATCACCCCCACTTGCCCGTATATCCATGTCCGGGTCCGCTGCGCTCGAATACGGCTTCCCCTCGTCGCACTCTGCCAACGCGGTATCGGTCGCCTTCTATGCCATATACACGTTGCGCCAGTCGGCCGAGCAAGATAATTCAAACTGGAATGCGGGCCTACAGGCGCTGTTCTACTTCTACGCGCTCTCGATCATTGCGGGGCGCTTGTATTGCGGCATGCACGGGTTTCTGGATGTCCTGGTCGGAAGTATAATGGGTGCGTTGATCACGGCATTCCAATTGGTCTGCGGGGACTGGATGGACTCGTTCGTCTTCAGTGGCACTTACATGGACATCTTGATCGCGACTTTGGTCGTCTGCGTTCTCGTCCGCATCCATCCGGAGCCTGCCGACGACTGTCCATGCTACGACGATAGCGTATCCTTCTCCGGCGTAGTCATTGGGATCAATCTTGGTGCATGGCATTACGCTCAGACCGGCTATGCGTTGAAAGATGCATACCCCTCATCTGTTCCGTTCGATCTGGAAGAGATGGGCCTGTTGAAGGCAACAATCCGCATTCTACTCGGTGTTGTAGTAATCTTCGTCTGGAGAGCGACCATGAAGCCTGCCTTGTTTACTATCCTGCCACCCATTTTCCGTCTTCTAGAGCAGGCTCGCTGGAACATGCCTCGCGCCTTCTTCCTCAACGCGTCCAAGTACAAGTCCATTAAGCCTTTCGCTGATGACGACAACGTCATTCCACCTGCATCAGAGTTGCCACATATGCTGAAGAACCTCGCCCACCCGCGTAAGCGGTCCGTATCCGTTGGACCACAGTCTGCCGCCGATGCTTACGAGACGCTTGCTTACCGAAATCGCCGACGACGGGAAAGTGTTAACTCACTAGATGGTACGGTACCCGAAGACTCCGCTTGGATACCCGGCCCCGCGGTCCTTGATACACCCAACATCGAGAAGGGGGAACCGCTACTTGGCGCAGGTCTTCTGCCTACACCGATGGCGTCTAGGGTGCACTCGTACGAGCAGATGATGGGCACAGGTGAAGTGCATGTAAACGAGAAGAATACGTCTACTCCTCCAAGGAGCGACACAGACGTCGCTGGCGATGTCCACACGCTCACACAAAGCCCGACGGAAGAGGAGAATGAGAAGCGGGAGATCTTCATGAAGCTTACGACACCACGAGTGCGTTATGATGTTGAGGTAGTCACGAAGTTGATTGTGTACACGGGTATGTTATACGCTATCAACAGAAGATCGAAGACTAATCATAATCAGGTATTGCGTATATCGCTGTTGCGGGTAACCCCATTCTATTCGAGTTCTTAGGCCTGGGCATGGGTCAGCAGTCGTAGTTGGGCCGGGCCACAGCCATGTTACATTTTCTATCGCCGTACATATGCCGACACAACCGGACGGTTTTGGTGAAACCGATGGACGGTCTCAAGGTTTCTTCTTTCTTCAGAAGTTGAGCCTACCCACGTAGTGTGAGACGGTCGTTGATAAATGCCAGGAAGAATATCACTGTAGCCTGGAGCTACACAGTAGTGATTGAGGAATAGTAGGCATTATTTTGCGGCATGAAGGAGGTACACGGTACACAGTAATTCGCTTCCATATTAATCAGGCCGCCTATCCGGTCTCCCATAGAATGCTAGAAGTATGCGTGTACGAGATTGGGTACACCCATTCTTTTTGCATTCTATGGGAGACTGGATAGGTAGGCGGGATACTCATCAAATTTGGCGAATTCTTTCAGTGCTACCCACGGCAGCTTACATCGTAGAGTCTTGAATGCCTGATCATTCATGCATCGACCTTATACTCCCATCCCATACAAGGGAAATACTGAACACCCTAGAGCCTACATCAAGATAAAAGCTTGCGAAGTTGGTGGCCTCACGGCGACGTAAGCTCCTAGGTGTTTAGTTTTTCCCTTGTATGGGGTGCTCCTTCAGTCCCGCATACGTACCACCTTTAACAATCTCCTTCGTCTCGCCCATAGTGCCAAAGCAGCAATGCTCCACCTTGCCCAAAGGCCCCTCCCTAGGATCATCCTCAAGGAGCACACCAAAGCGTAGCTTCGTCTTTGCCAGCTCCTTGGGAAAGGGATCCCCACCCAAACACGCCCCAACACTCAAATGATCCAGCGTAGGATTACGGGTGGTAGCCATGATGCGAGAGAAGAGCACATCCGATGCTACCCCGTTCATGTGGAGCGACCACGCGCCGACCAGGATGAAAGCGAAAGTGATTGCGATAACAATTGCGTATCCAATCCAGAGAGAGTATTCATAATACACGTATACCATCATGGTTCGTGATTTTGTGCAGGGCACTTCTTGGGTCTGGACCACGACGAGATTCGGGTCGTTGAGAAGAGTGATAAGTATGTCTTCGAAAAGGTCTTGTATCTCTGTCTTCAGATCCACCAATGGGTACGAGGTGCTGCTGTTGACTAGACGCGTCTCAGATAGATCCGAGTAGGTAATGAGGATCTTTTGCTTTTCGATTCTGCCACGCAGGAAGCGGCGTAGGAGTGAACCTAGAGTATGGAAGGAAGCTGTGACTTTGTATTCTTCAATGTTCTTCTGGGGTTCTATGGGATGGTCTATCAAGCTGTTAGCACGAATAATAAGATATATTAGAATCGCGTTGGCACAGTATAGCAAGGGGGCTACATACTAGTAATAAGTTAGCAAGATATCTTGACAGCTGTTCGTGGCGGCTACTTTACCCTCCGATGACTGGACGCAGGAATTCTCGTTCCCAACGGGTTGCGGACTGTCTGGGATTGTAGCTCATGTTGAAAGTATATTTGGTGTACTGCATGACGCATTTAAATATCTTCGGCTCTGTAAAGATGGACGTGACAAGTCAGTATATCAACCAAGAAAAACCCAAACAGACCTGCAGCCTACATCAACCTGAAAACCCATAAGATAGGTGACCTGGCGTTGATGTAGGCTCTAGACCTGTTCAGGTTTTTTCTTGTATGAGGTGTATCTCTTACATGTGGTTCGCGCGGCCAGTACTTACCATGTACGTTTCCCCATTTGGCCTTGTACTCCGGCTCCGCATCGTGCGAGTACGGCTCGGAGGTATTGATGGCGTAACCGATCCATAGGTTTGGTTCACTCTCGAATACGCCTAAAGACCCTGTACCATTCGCTGGATCTTGATACCCGTAATTACCTTGATCAACATCAGCCTTATATACAAGGCTTCCATTCGGCGCCAGTTCAGACAATGCGAATGGCGCGTCGGGTTCATCAGCATCCTCGACATCCTCGCATTGATAGCCGGGCCCCACGAAGCTTATTGTGTATGTACAATTCCAGCCCGGTCCGCAGAATACGGTAGAAGCGTTTTCGCGAGGCTGTGGCTTCTGCATATACACGCTACTGAAGGCTAAGCGGCGCGCATTCTTCGACGGCTGATCGTAGTAGTCGAAGAAGCTTCCTGTACCCGTTGCCGCGGAGTAGACGTCTTCATCTCTCCTTTCCTGTTCGGCTGGCTCAGTGGTGTTATAGAAATTCAAGCTCTTTTGCCAGAATTTACTCATGTCCCGAAAATCGTACGTAGATTCCTGGGTGAAATTTAGAGTGGCTACAGAGCAACTGGCAGTATTGTTGAACGTTCTTAGCTCAGATGTTAGTGAGGCTGGGGACAGGACGGATGCAAGTGGTAGTAACTTGGGTAGGTCAGAATGAATCTTCTGTCTTTTGTGAAAGACTTGTAGGCTTACCCAGGTACAGGCTGCCATGAGCGTAGCAAGCTTGCCATTTCTGATCATCTCCCAGTTGAGGAAAAATTGCGTCGGATCTTCCGTTGCAGAGAACAGGCCATCAATACCATTGATCGTCATCGCCTTTCGTCGGAAGGTATACCATATGCGCTGACGGTTGCACATGATGACAGTTCCAACCAGTGTACTTTTCACGAAGAAGGCCAAGGCTGTACCATATCGCACCATCTTCAGTTGCTCGGTCGCAGGCTTCCCATTGAGATGCATGTAAAACAAGTGATGACCCACTGCTGCCGCAAACCCTGCCATGAACAATGCCACTATGAGAGCCGGTGTTGTCCAGTATATGTGCCATTGGACCAATTCGCCAGATCTCCTGTCGACGAGAGCTTGGGTATCCGCATCCATGGTCTTCTTGTGATAAAGCGAGTTTAGAGTATACGTAGAATCTCTCGCTGAGCGTATGGAGTGGCCCGAGGTGCCGTGTTCTCCACGCACCGGCTCATACCGGCTGTCACCGTGTGGCAGGCCCAAGTAGGCTCCCGCGCGGAACCCACTCTTTGTACCCTCATCGTGAGACCGATCCAAGGGTTGCGCGTGAGGTATGTGTGCCTCTCCACCATCTGACGACAGTCGTGATAGATATGAGAGCTCGATAGGATCGGATTCTGTGCGGAAGGGATCGTAGGGTTCAGGACGTGATTCCGGTGAAACATCCCGTGAGGAATAAGCCGACTGAATTCCTCGAGAAGCCATCGTTATCGCAATGTTGTGAGTCTAGGAGGGGACGATTTTGAGAGCATAGGATGATTGCGACGCGGCCCAAGGTCATCAAGAAAACACCATAGTGGTAGCGTTCAGCGGGGTGTTGCACATGTAGTACTGTGGGCGTATGCAGCACGACAACAAGAGGAGGGCGGTTGGAAGGCTCAATGAGTGCCGGTGCTATCGCATGCAACTATCTCGAGGACGATCGGGATGGAGAAAGCATCGTGTCCGGGACTGAGCCCCCACTTCTCCATCATCGCTCCCTTAGGTGTGGTCTATTCTGGTCTGGGGAACCGAGATGAGGCGTAGGCGGCGCGCAACACAGGAAGGCCTGGCTATTGGTAGATAATTGTCGCACTAAGCGCGACTGCAGGTGGCTGGCTGGTAGCTGGAGATACTTGGTAGCTGGGTTAGATGTACACCAACGACCACACCTCATAAAAGAAAAAACCCGAACAGGTCTGCAGACTACATCAAACTAGAAACTTGCAAAGTGGGTGATCCAACGTTGACGTAGACTCTAGGGTGTTCAGTTTCTTCCTAGGTTGGCGTTACCAGGTCGCGCGTGCGGAGGTGCTCGCTCTTACAACTTGTAAGTATGACAAAAGGAAGCTACGCAAGAGACGTCTACCGCATTCGATGTTACAGCCTATATCGCCTATCATCTTTCCGAAGGTAGTATAGTGGGGTGCCTCAGAAAGACGAATCCCTTGGTAGAAGGCAGTAGAAGACGGTGCGGGGCATGAGTAGGCGCGAAGCCACGCGACATCCTCGCGTTTCTCCATCGGACCCACTCCGCCTACCTGGAGCTTACAAATGCGGTTCCAGCGACCTTTGCCGACATCTGCCATGCTGCGCGCAGCCCCAGGCTCTAAACTGCACGTTTTCCGAAGATCCGAGCAATTCCCGGCAGAGCAAGCAGAGCATCGGTCAGCTATCCTGACAAACTCGTCTTCCAGACCGGCAGTTCGCCTTTGAAATCATGGCGACAACGCCGCCATTGGGTCTGCCCCGTGCGGCCAGACTGATCGCCAACACTCCAGGAAGCTAATGATCCATGATAGCCGCAGTTCACAGGGGAGCTACAAGCTGTGACGTGAACGCGGGCTAGCTCTTGTTATTCTTGCGTCACTATTCGGACCTTCGACGACCCCACATGCACATGGCAGTACATAAGGAGCAGGCACCGTCATGGCAGAGACGTCATAAAGGTTCAAAGGTCTTTCTTAGCTCCTTCGAATTCCCCATAGCAAACACTCATACACATAATCAACTACAACATGGCACCATCAACGACAAAGGCATGGACCGTTCAAGGCCAGGATGGCTTTAACTCTCTCAAGTTCAATGAGCAGGCCAAGGTACCTGAGATAGGCGACAAGGACGTTCTAGTCAAGGGTGCGTAGAGCTCATCGAATAGCCTCCAGCAATAATACTGACTAATTGACAGTCCACGCCGCATCGTTGAACTACCGCGACCTTATCATTCCCATGGGCAAATACCCCTTCCCGATGAAGGACAACACTGTGCCTGGCTCGGATGGCGCCGGCACTGTAGAATCGGTCGGCAAGCGCGTCACACGCTTCAAGCCCGGAGGTTCGTATCCCTATACAGACCAACGCATACAGTCTTCTAACATCACCCAGACAAAGTAGTCACCCTCTTCAACCAAGGTCACATCGCCGGCTCCCTAGACGCACAATCTATCGGCACCGGTCTCGGAGGCGCCATCGACGGTACTCTGCGGGAGTACGGCGTTTTCGACGAAGCTGGTCTCGTTGCGGCCCCCTCCAACCTGAACATGCTCGAGGCCTCTACCCTCTCATGCGCCGCCCTCACAGCTTGGAACGCCTTATACGGTCTGGAGTCACGCGCTCTCAAGCCTGGTGACACAGTCCTCACACAGGGTACCGGTGGTGTATCCATCTTCGCTCTGCAATTCGCAAAGGCAGCTGGCGCCCGCGTCATTGCGACGACCAGTTCCGCACAAAAGGCCGATCTCTTGAAGAAGTATGGTGCCGACCACGTCATTAACTACAAGGAGACGACCAACTGGGGTGAGGAAGCCGCAAAGCTCACTCCCAACGGCGCTGGCGTACAGCACGTTGTCGAGGTTGGCGGCCCGACCACGATGGCACAGTCTCTCAAGGCCATCGCCATCGACGGCGTCATCTCCATTATCGGTTTCATTGGCGGCGGCGGAAAGGACCAGCCTACGTTCCTCGACTGCCTTAACAACATCTGCACTGTGCGTGGTGTATTGGTCGGTTCAAGACTGCAGATGGAGGATATGTGCAAGGCAATTGAGGCAAATGACCTGCACCCCATTGTTGACGAGAAGGTGTTTGAACTTAAGGATCTCAAGGATGCCTACCAATACATGTGGGACCAGAAGCACTTTGGTAAGCTCACTGTCAAGGTTGCCTCATAGAGCATGCGACATGGAGTATATAGTACAGTCTAATTTACTGCAAACACTACGCTATGCTATAACACAATTGTGCCTCTCGCTGGCTAACCAGAACCTGCCCGTCCCCCCGGCGAGACCAACTCGAACCCCCGAAGGGGTGAGTCAAGGTCTCAAACCAGGAGGACTAAGGCAAGAGTAAAGAACTAGCTACAAGAAAGAAAACAAATATAAGAGCCTCTCGCTGGATGACCAGACGAGCGTACCACGTGCCCTACCAAGAAAAGAAATCGAGCCTCTCGCTGTATAAACAGACGAGCGTACCACGTGCTCCGCAAGAAAAGAAACTGAGCCTCTCGCTGTATGAACAGACGAGCGTACCACGTGCTCTGCAAAAAGAAAAACACCCCGAGGCAACTACCAAGGTACAAACAAGAACAAACTGCTCGCCAAACAGACCTCTGGACAACTACCAGGGTACTAAAAAAACAGAACTCCAACTATCCAAAAACTCAAGCCTCTATGGGCGGTGGGGGGTATCATGGGGTATCAGGGTCGTAATGTAACCGTCGTGAAAAACCTCGTAAGCGACTGAACTCCATGCTGTGCGCCAAAAACAATGCAAAAAGAGAATCCGTGTGTTCGAATGAAGAATGGAAGAGTTGTACTCATTCCAGCTCGGTGGTAGGATGGCCGGCCAGCAGAGTGGTTGCGATACGCTTGCGTGCATCGTCCATGCCGTCGGTAGAAAGGACACGAGTGGGAGCGTCGCCGCGGATGAGGGTCAAAGCGTTCAGGAGAGTGAAGACACCGCAATCGCTTCCGTTCTTCTGTTGCTCACTCCTCTGGCCAGTCTCTCTATTCCACTCCGAAGGAACCCAGTATTCACCGAGCTCCTGCTCGAGGTATTTGACGAGCTTGTCGATGTATGTTTGTCCGTCAAGACCCATAGAGTCAAAGTACTCAATAGTGCGTTCCCGGGGATAAACCGCGAGCAGACGCCAGTGACCTCTGTCGCAGATGGGATAGAGGAGAAGGTCGGCGTCGAGGTACTGCTTGCCTTTCAGCTGGAACCTGTTGGTCCAGCGAGAAGTATCGGCAGTCTGGTACCAAAATGACGAAAAGGCGTGAAGGGGCGGTGCAGGACCGTTGCGCTGGTGAGCGAAGCCCATTTCCTTCTTCTTTGCAGCGATGAGAATAGAAAGATACTCGTTGACGATGCTGTCGTTCAACCATGCCCTGGGATCACCGTTGAAGACGCGAGGCAACAGAGTCGCAAAGTCTCGAGCGTATAGCTTGTCTTCAATGACGAACGAATCTGGCTTGCGGCCGTATTTGGTCTTGGCTGCGGCGTCCTGCAGTGCAGCTTCTTCCTCGGGAGTGAGCGGCGCAATGAGTGGCTTCTGTGGCGGTGGGGGAGGCGGTGCCAAGGCAAGCTTCCTCTGCATTTCCCGCTGAAGGTCCTCGAGGAGTTCCAGCGAGAACTCGCACTCCAGGAGCGATTCATCGGGTGCGTCGAAAGCGTCAACGGAGACACCGCGCCAGCCACCATTTTGCGCAGGAGAATCAAGAAGGGTTATCTGCGGGCTGCTGTCTGCTGACGAACGAGAAGATGATGACGCCTGGCTGGCATTTGATGCGCCGCCATCGTTGTTCTGGAATACATTGTGGTATTCCCTGATCGGACTTGAAGTAATCGTCTCTAGCGTGGAGTCGAGCATCTCGCTGACTTTCGTGTCGACGTAGAAGGGCTTGCATTTAGCATCCTTTTCCCAACGCACTCCCTTCGCTCGCGGCGGAGATGGCGCATCAACGAGGAATGATAAGTCGTTGGCGTACTCGACTTCAGAGCTTTCAGTGACCTCAGGGAGAAAGGACAAGTCGTTGGCGTACTCGAAGTCGGGGACGGCAGCTTCGGTTTCAGTCTTTGGTTGTGATGGAGATGCTGATGACCAAGCATTCGTGGAGTGGAAGGGGTTCTGGTTGAATGACTCGGCGAAAGTGCTCTTAGCTTGCTCGGTATCGGCGAAACCTTCCTCCGTAGACTCGAGCGCGGCATTGAGGCCTGCGATGCGCTTGCGTTCCCTGTACATCTGTGCCTTGACCAGTTGGCGTCGCAGAGGTGTGACCGTAGGCAGGTTGGAAGTGCGCTTGCCATTGGGGGCTGGGCTTGCGGATGCTTGCGATGAGGAGAGTGCTTGCGCCGACGGTGACGTAAGACCTGAAGAGGCA